GTTGTTGTGGTAGTTGTGGTGGTGGTTGTGGATGTTGTTGTGGTAGTTGTGGTGGTGGTTGTGGATGTTGTTGTGGTAGTTGTGGTGGTGGTTGTAGGTGTCGTTGTGGTGGTTGTAGTAGAAGTATTGGTAGTGGTCATAGGATAACTAGTTGTTAAAAGTGCAGTTGAAGAAATCATTAATGGTTCCGTCGTGGCTACTACTTCAGTAATAGGCAGAAGTGCATCAACACTGGTGGCTGGATAAATACTTGTTTCCTCATGAATTGACGTCAAACTCTCCCACCGCTGTTGCCAATAATCTAAAACAAGAACAGAAATGATTGCGAAAAATGAACTCTTCATTAAATAATTTCTTTTCGTAAACTTGAAAAGAGTTTCTCGATTCTCTTAAGTGTAAGAGCTAAGTAATAGGGGTAGCAGTTTAATCATTTATATATGGGTAATATTTCACTTGGGTTACAATATCTCTGAAAGTTTAACTCATTGAATACGGCTTTAAAGATCAAATTTAAACATACCCTTCTGATCAGGACATACAAGACATGGACAAATAGGATCATTGTTTTCAATCATTTCAGACTCTTCACAATTGCTTGATTCAGCGATGACGTCACAACGGCTATCACATACAAAAGCTTGATCACTTTCGCATCGACATAAATCACAAACATTAGTAGGAGATGTATATTCTTTGTTGCTAACAGGAATAACTAAATATTTAGCAATAAATTCATATTTTCTTTTTAATATCAATAAAATTAGATCACATACTTCGACCATCATCTGATACACATCCAACTTCAGCTTGTCGTAATTGAACTAGTAAGAAAAAAAAATGTAATACCAATTAATTATACAAACAATTGTCAAGCAAACTTACAATCATTTGTTTGTCCTGTTATAATAGAAAAGCAATACAGTAACAAGAAATGATATTGAAAGTGAAACATTTCAAATTTCAAATCTATTTACAATGAATATGTAGAATAAGACTTATCATGAATCTAAAAAAGTATAAAATTATTTTAAAAAAATAATAAATAGATATTGACTTTGAAAGATATTTATCCACTTAATTAGATAGATATATATTACTGGAAAACGTATTCAGATATGAACAGTATTTTTTCGCTAATGTTTTGGAAAAAGAATTTACAAGGAAGAAGCATATATTGAAGAGATACTATTCAATAATCAAAATAAACTGAAAATTTCATGGTTTATTAGTGTTGATAACTAAACAACTATTATAATAATAGTGATCGATACAAATAATCATTGCAGTTCTTGAGTTTATTTTGTCGAATATTTACTTAGGTTAAAAATGGAAAACATTTTTGAGTAAAACAAAAAAAACGACAAACTTTAGGTTTATTTTCATTATGTCTATTATCTGAGTTATGTAATATGATATCCTAATTATTAGCCTTGAAAAAAATTCTTCAACAAAATACTATAAACAAATCTTTTCTTCTTCCAATAAACGAAATCTGACGTATTATTTCAATAGACATATATGTATTCTTTTATACCTTAATCCATGAAAACTCGAGTTGAATAACCCAAACAATAATAATAAGTTTCAATTACATTACCAGAGAACTTCCCCATCATATTCTCTGAAATATGTCTCTCAATCATATCTTTCATCAGAATATATGACATGCAACAGACAATAATTTATTTATCCTACAATGTGTCGACAATGGCAATTGTTTCATATCTTTCTTTTTTTTTGTGTGTATCTTATTGCTCTTTTAACGTTCTTACACATCTTTTTTTCTGTATTGTAATGTTATATCAAGTTATCTGACAGATTGATATATGGATTGACTGTAATTAGATGTGTTTGTACCTAAGAGGAAAAAAAATGATCCTCAACATTTTTCTACAGAAAATTATTTCGTCAATTAAAATTATCATAATATTGAAATTAATATTAACAAAAAACACAAAACCTTAAATTTCTTTACGAAATCAATATTGACCTTGATATAGCCAATAGGAATGAAGATAGAAACCAATAGACTTAATTAACTTTAGTCTCCTGTGAATAATATGCAAAAAACATTGATTTAATTAAACTCTAATCAACACTATTGTTTAATTATTTTTTTTTCTTTTATTGACAACACAATTAAGATTTTACATATATTCGCCTCTTCAAATATATTCAGTGTTGCACCAAGGACATTCAATGGCATTAGAAAAGAAAGACAGAAAATATAAATTCTATATTTTCTAATGTCTAAGTGTTTAAGTCTTATTAAAGAAAAATAAATGACACTTAGAGATAGTGTGTTACTATTATATCACGAAAGTTGACAACTTGTGCGTGACAATATTATCAAGGATCAATTGTCTGGTAACTTTTTTTGTTTTGCTAGAATTTCACTTTAGTATATATACATCAGTTATTTGAGAATCGTAAAATAAAGAAAAGACAATGATCAATATCTTTAAACGATTATTTCGACGTCGTGATTCTTATAATCCATTTAATGATGATACTGCAAAAAATTACAAAAGCCGACTTGATCTTATACGTTTAAGTGCTGTCGTATGTGGTATTGAATTTTGTTATGCAGCTGAAACTGCTTTTGTATCACCTATACTTCTTCAACTTGGCTTACCTGTCATATTTATGACTTGGACATGGTGTTTGCCACCATTGATTGGATTCTTTCTTGTGCCGGCACTTGGTTCACTCAGTGATAAATGTTATACATGTATTGGACGACGACGTCCATTTATTTTACTCTATTCAACTGGAATTCTTTTCGGTCTTGTATTAGTCGCTAATGGTAAAAAAAAACAAAATTTCTTTTGATTTAAAGAAAAAGAAAAAAAAACATCAACTCTTTTGTTAATAATTAGGTCAGCCTATTGGATATTGGTTTGGTGATTCAAGGAATATTTTTTTCAATACTACTGAATTATTCAACCAAACAAATTTTGAAAATGATAAAATATCTAATCCATTCTTAACACATAAATTTGGTACAATAATAACTGTTCTTGGTGTTCTTCTACTTGATCTTGATTGTGATGCATGTCAAAGTCCAAGTCGTGCCTATTTACTTGATGTTACAAATCCAAATCAACATTCTCTAGGTCTTACAACATTTACAACAATGGCTGGTCTCGGAGGTTGTTTAGGCTATTTTTTTGGTGGTATTCCATGGGAAGATACATTTTTAACTAAAATATTTGGTGATCATATACATGTTGTATTTACACTTGTTTGGATTATTTATATTATTTGTATGATATTCACATTAACAGCAGCAACCGAACCAATTAATGTTGCAATAATAATGCCAAATCTAAATCGATCATCATCACATCAATATCTTGTATCAACTTATTCAATACATAGTATAAATGATGATGATGATATTCATCAATATGAACCAAATTCAATCATAGAACGAGAACAATATGATTCAATATCAGTTGTTAATTTAAAAGTCTCATATTTCGATTATCTTCGATCAATTATTTATATGCCTGTATCATTAAGATGGCTTTGTTTAACAAATTTTTTTTGTTGGATGGCACTTGTTTCTTATTCATTATTTTTTACAGATTTCGTTGGACAGGCTGTTTTTGGTAATTATAAATATCATGAAAATTTCAAATTAAAAAGCTTTTTATTTTAGGTGGAAATCCAAAATTGGATCCTGAACATCCATTAAGATTATTATATAATGATGGAGTTCGATTTGGTGCATGGGGAATGTCAATATATTCAATATCATGTTCGATTTATTCATTTAATATTCAAGCATTGAATAATTATTTTGGTATATTTTTTAATTTTATGAAAAGGATTCCACTGAATTTAGTGACTTATTTTGAATCAGAATATTATATATTTATTGTCGGAGCCAGAATTAAATAGGGGTGGGTGTAGAACGAATATCTCGAGAACGGCAGTAGCTAGCGACCTGTGGCTTTCACCAACTGAAAGAGTAGAAGTTGGGACATCTTTTTCTCCGATAATATATAAGACAAAATCCTTTTAAAAATAATTATCTTCGAAAAACATGCAAAAGAATGCATGAAAGTGACCTTTTATCTAGATGAAATTTTGATTTTGCCCTTTGATTTAGACAGATGGACTTGAGATCTATAGTTTAAGATACAATGCAAATGGTTCTCCTATTGCATTCTAACATTGAGCAAATGGAATCATGTATTTACATGCAAGAAATAATAGGGAATTTTACTGATTTTTTACTAAGTTTTCACACTTTTTCTGATAATAGCGTGGATTTTCGATAAAAATGCAATGAAAAGTAAAAAAGCGCATTGTATCTTAAACTATAGATCTCAAGTCCCTCTGTCTAAATCAAAGGGCAAAATCAAAATTTCATCTAGATCAAAGGTCACTTTCATGCATTCTTTTGCATGTTTTTCAAAGATGATTACTTTTAAAAGGATTTTATCTTATACATTATCGGAGAAAAAGACATCCCAACTTCTACTCTTTCAGTTGGTGAAAGCTACAGGTCGCTAGCTACTGCTGTTCTCGAGATATTCGTTCTACACCCACCCCTATTTAATTCTGGCGCCGACAATAGTATTGTATAACAATATACAGCGCATCAAATGGTATTATACTAAGTCAAACTTTCCTCAAATTTTGATACGCTGAGATTTTGTATACTGCTTATAATTCTTCAGGCGTATAGGTGATACTCACAGACATTAAGATATCTAAAATTTTCTAAGATAAATTTATACATATTTTCTTACAAATCAATTTGATACAGTTATAGGCACTCTTGCACTGTGTATAATCAATAGTTTTTATTGTCCCTCTTTTCATACTTAAGAATGATCTTTTTTTTTCAATGTTGGCCATTTCTTGACTCTATGATATTCCATTGGGTTCAACTCTGCGCTACAGAATAAATAAGTACTAATGTGAAATTTTCTCAAAGATTGGACACTATCGAGCTCTTATGTTTCATGAATAAGATGTTTTGGAATACTGAGGACTCATAGTCAACTTGCAAGCTTGCTCTTTGGAAAAGTCTTCTTTCTTATCTCAAGGAACCGATAGATTACCAATATTTCAACGAGACTCAATGATTTTATTAAAAATTTCTATTTTTAAATAATCAGCATGACATCCCGGATGAGCAGATATAAATAACTCCTTAATAAATGGAAAAACAATTTTTTGACTCTTGAACCCCTGGAAGGAGTACAGAGCTTTGGAAAAATTTATTTTTTCAATAAGAATAAGATATTCATATGTTCTTCGAGAGTATAACCAGTCTATGAATTCTTAACACATCAAAATTCCAGAGAAATTTGATCCCTTTACAACACCATCCGATGCGCTGCAAAGCGCTCCACAAGACTACATATATGGTATCCTGATTTAAGATTGATCACCAAATCTAGTGGAGTGCTTTAAACAAAATTTATTTTTTATTTATAAAAGGTATTAAACGAGTTTATATTGGTTCACAATTAATATATGCTATTGGAATGTTATTAATGGGGTATTTACGTCATCGTATAGCTGTTATTATTTTTTCAGCTGTAGCCGGTATTCTCTATTCAACATTATTTACTATTCCATATTTACTCATTTCGAAATATTATACATCTAATATAGTATGTTCAAATATATCTTTTATTTTTTTTCTTGTACATTGAAACTAAATCGTTTATTTATATAAAATAGTTCAATCAATTAAATACGGATGGGCAAATTCGTGGTATTGGTACAGATGTGGCTGTTGTGAGTAGTATGGTCTTTTTGGCACAATTAGTTTTATCATTAACAATGGGTGCATTTATTCATTTAGCTGGTTCAACAGTTATTGTAACTATTCTAGCAAGTATTCTTAGTACTTGTGGAGCTAT